CTTTATCACCCCCTTGTTGTTTTAATTAAAGAGAGCAGTGAGCAAGGTAAGAAGCAGCGGATGTTTCTGGCCTGGTGTTTGTTTGCTGAGCAGTTGTTCCCATTTCGAGCACACCCCCAGGGTATCTCTCGCTGCCATCAACTCTGTATTACTCTAGAATTTCTCGTGCTCGAAAAGTAACCGCTGAAGATCGTCTTAGTTGTGGAAGGAAGGGAGGAGTAGAAGTGCACACGAGCCCATGAGGTTCATTTGCTTTTAAGAAAACAACAAAAAAAAAAACCAAACCCAACAAGCCCTGCTTTGCTTCCTCCTCCTCAGTCTTATTTTATCATAACAAGGTTTGCTTTTGGCCAAATATTGTGAGGGGAAGGGACACACTCAGATAGTTTTTAACAGATTGATTAAGGCCTGAGTGCTCGTGTCTAAATTAAAGCCAAATCAACAAAGCTGAATGCTCACCAAATTCCTCCTTTTCTACAAAAGAGGAGACACAAATCCAAAAAACCCTCCTGTAGGTGTCAATCCTCACCTGTGCTGCAACTGTTACATTGCACCTGCTAAGAATAATCATGTTTCCAACAAGGAATAAAAAGAAACCACATATAAGGGGTTATATGGGTATATTTGGTATTTGTTTGACTCATTTCACTTCATCTAGTCCCTTTAAACACTAAAATATTTTATGTAGACTTTTTCTCTTTAAAAGATGGGCAATTAAGATACTTTCCTTGAAAGTCAAACAAAGAAAAATAACATAAATCACAATAAAGATTCCCTTCAGCTTTTCTATTTCTGCTTTTCTCCATGTCCTAATGGTTGATATTTAGTCAGTATAACATATTATGTGGGTTTTTTTTAAATTACTGAAGACTCTCCAGCAGCTCAATAATGGTAAATACTCACAGAAAGCAAGTACGGAACAAACTGCTCCAAGAGCTTTTCCACAATCCTGGAGCATTTCCTGACAGATTTCAGGGTTCCAGGGTGCACCATCCACCTCTTAAGCAAGAAAATCAGAGGAGCAGGAACAAACAATGCTCTGCCTGCTGTGTGAAATAAGATCTTTCAAACCTTGGATCAGCCTGGGGGTTTAAGTGAGGACATTTCCAGCACACTTTGGTCACGAAAAGTAGAGCTTTTCACCCGGTGCAAGGAGTTTGTTTGAGAATTACTGGTTTGCAAAAGCCAGCCAGGCCAACAACAGATGAGGACCCAGGTGTTTGGTGCAAAATTCTGTGCCTATTCATAAGCAGAATTCAGCTTTTGTTGTTTTGTTGGGTTGTTTTTTTTTTTTTGAGCCAACTGAATGTTCCTTCCCAGTGTCAACTGAACTCTGCTGCTGTTGTTAAAAGGAGACTCGAAACTAAGAGTTCTAAGTGGCTTCAGTTCTTGAAACAGTTTCACTGGTGGCTGAATATTTTGAAAACAACTCCAGGGAGGGAAAAAAAAAAAAA